AGAGAGAGGAACCCTAACATCCCTTGCTTCCCTTCTCTGGTGGGTTGGGTAGATGTTAAATGGAAAAGATGGACCTTGAAATAACAGGGAGGGAGCCACCACCGAGAAGGCTCTTCTTCTTGGTCCCACCAGATGGACCTCCTTAAGAGATAAGAACCCTAACATCCTCTGCCTCCCTTCTCTGGTGGGTTGGGTAGAGGTTAAGTGGAAAAGATGGACCTTCAAATAACAGGGAGGAAGCCACCACGGAGAAAGCCCTTCTTCTTGGTCCCACCAGATGGACCTCCTGAAGAGAGAGGAACCCTAACATCCCCTGCCTCCTGCTCTGGTGGGTTGGATAGATGTTAAGTGGAAAAGATGGACCTTCAAATAACCTGTCTTGATGTGGGCACCAAGCTTGGGCCAGCCTTGCAGTACGCCAGAGGATAGCAGGATGCCGGGTACCAACCAGAGAGCTGGACTTTTGCACCGCTGTCGGTTGAAGGAGTCCACGGTGCCAGGCCGGCTCTGGTGGCCGGGAGGGGATAGGAGTCCAATTTTTCCGATGCCCGTCTTTTCTTTCAGCTGCAGGCCTGGTGGAGAGGCATGATGGTCCGTAGGTTCCTCGGTCCTTACAGAAACCTCAAGAAAATGCTGGAGGAAGAGCCGGTCACCAAAGATAAAGGGAAGAAAGGGAAAGCGGGGCCGAAGAAGAAGAAGTGATGGAAGAGTCTATACTGCCCCTCCTCAAGTCCAGTGTGTGCACCTCGGTGAAGGGAGGAGCTCTATATTTGCCCAGAGCAGGGGTCTCCAACCTTGGCAACTTTAAGGCTTGTGGATTTCAACTCCCAGAATTCATCAGCCGGATGTGTCCGTTTCTTTTTCTCTTACCCACCAAAGTGGAGAGATTGCAGAGGAAGGGATTATAAGAGAGTAAGCAAAGCTGGCTGAGGAACTCTGGGAGTTGAAGTCCACAAGCCTTAAAGTTGCCAAGGTTGAGGACCTCTGGCCCAGAGGATTCGGAAGAATTAAAAATATTCTCTCTTCGAGCACTTGCGTCTCTTCATTTGGGGAGGACCGATCCTGGGGTATCGAAAGCCGGTGTCTTTTTCGTTTTTTTTTTTTTTAATTAAAGGGAAAAGGGAAGCAGCTAATAAGTCCAAAGGGGGGGGGGTGCCTAGACTTTAAACTGGTTGATTCTAAAGGAGGGTGCAAATATTGTGGTGGGGGGAAGGTTTGCTGCAAAGAGTTCAATGAAATTGCAAGGGGAAACACATACACGTAAAACTTGATGCTCTCCGATTTTCACAGATTTTGGAAATGTCGATAGAAAAACGTCACTCAGAACGTAGAGGTTGTCCTCTACGTACGACCAAAATGAAGCCCACAATTTCTGTTGCTAAGTGAGACAGTTCTTAGGCAGGTTTCGCCCCATTTTACGCCCTTTTTGGCTACAGTTCTTAAGTGAATCCCTGCAGCTTGTGATTAGAATAGAATAACAGAGTTGGGAAGGGACCTTGGAGGTCTTCTAGTCCAACCCCCTGCGCAGGCAGGAAATCTTACACCACTTCAGATAAAGGGTTATCCAACCTCTTCTTAAAAACCTCCAGTGATGGAGCATCCACAGCTTCTGGAGGCAAGTCGTTCCACTGAGTTAGCTGTTGGGTTAGAAACACAGGTCGTTAAGTGAATCTGGCTTCCCCATTGATTTTGCTCATCAGAAGGTTGCAAGAGCGAATCACGTGACCTCGGGACACTGCAACCGTCATAAATACGAGTCAGTTGCCCAGAGTCCAACTTTTGACCACGTGACCGTAGAGATGCTGGAGTAATCATGTGAAAAATCATCATAAGTCACTTTTTTTCAGTGTCTTGTAAGTCCGAACGGTCACTAAAGGAACTGTTTGTAAGTTGGGGACTACCTGTATTTAATTTCCATCAAAAGGCCGTCTTCCATTAAAGAGCAGAAGATGCAGTCCTAGTATTTATAGAATGAGAATTTTAAGGAACTTCGAAGCTTCCTCAGTATAGGAGCTACACAGCACCTCTAGCAAATAACCACGGGCTCTCTCTGGCCGCCATAAAACGAGAAATTAACCCCCAGATCACTTGCCTTCATCCATAGGATATTAATTCTGGATTCCCCACGGCTTTTAGCAACCTGGATATTTGTGAAGTCAGCCAGTGAAGGTACATGGCTTGTCCTTACTATAAAACCCAAGGTTTATTGGAAATTCCCCTTGAAAAAAAATGAGCGTCGGATGAGAAGAATTTCAACTTTATTGTAAAATTATTGTGTAAGCCCTTTTAGTGACAGCAAAACTAATTTAAAGTCGTGATAGAAGCCGAAATATGAGAGACCGGATAAACCTGCTTTGGAATAAACGCTTCTTGATTTCAGAGGCAGGTTTTAAAGCTTTTTTTTTATTTATTTATTTCAAATCACCCAGATTTGGAGTTTATTATATCAGGTGTGCTAGAAACGGACTGGTAACATATACAGGCAATTGAAAATAAAACCTATGATATTATGACCTTTATATTTGATAGTCCTCCATGGAATGTATTTACAGACATACAAATATAGGAAATATTAAAAAAAAAAAAAATCTTTGGCTACGCTACTACTTACACCGGCTTTTCCCCAGCGTGGTTCACCCTCCAGATGGGATGGATCACCAATTCCCTTAATTCTGAGCCAGCAACTGGTAGGGGATTAAGGTATTTGTGGTCCAACTCATCTGCCCCAGCGCTAGCTGGGGAAAAGCCAAATTACACTTTAGAGCTGGCAGAAACAACAAAAGGGAAGCCCCAATCATCTGACCTAGAGAAAATGCGAGTTGTAGGGCACTGAAAAAAACCAGTTTCAACAGTTCTACTGAAAACATCAATGTTTTAACACACAAAAACCGTTTAATTTCCTCAAAGATGGAGCACCGGTTACGACAGAAGGAACACTGACCGTTTTCTCTAGCTTGGTTAGGAATCAAACCGCTGTGAATTGTCACTTAACTGAATTCATTTTGCAAAACACAAACCTCCAGGCGTTATTGTTAAGGGAACATCAGGAGTGCTCCGTGCAAATCTCCTACTCCTGGGAGACTGTGCTCGTTGGATTGATTAGCAGGGGGTAGTAGAAGCAGTAACTCAGTGAAGGACTAAAGCAATTTATTTTCTCTGCAATGCTTGCCAGCTTCTCAAGGAGAGGCAGAGATGGTTAAAGCAGGTTATCCTTAGATCCGATCCAGCAAATTATAATAATAATAATAATGTGGGTCTGCTTTCCACACAACTATGATGTTTGATCCAGGATTTAGGGAATGAAGATGGCCAGGATGAGTAATGGTTGATCCACATACAATGGGCCAGGCCAATTCACTTCTTTCTGGTCAACTCAGTCGGAGTATATGGTTCTTTCTGGCCAACTCAACGTGGCCAGGTAAATGTCAGGTGGTAAGAATGTGAATTCACGCCTAAAAGAAAGGAATATTAGCAGGGAAGCTCTCGGCCAATGAAAAGACAGGCTCCTAATGTCAGTTGCAAAGATTCATAGTTCCTTGATAAAAAATCCTAGCACTGAACTAACGTAACAGCAAATACTGGGGTTGTGCAGGCGCAGGAGGGACCCCACATCCAAATTTAATCTTCATTATAAGACCGTCATCCGTTGTTGCTTCTACCAGCAATTTTAACACACTTTTTTTTTGTTTTCGTCAACTATTAAGAAAAAAAAAAAATTGCACATAAATAGAGCAACACACAAATTCCTCAAGCCGTTTCAAACCTGAAATTTAAAATAAAAATAAAAATTGTTTGTTTGTTTGTTCGGAGGGTGTGTTTTTCTTTTTTCTTTTGGTGTAACGACAAACCAAATCATGTTGGTTGAACGGATGAGAGGTTTTTTTTCATGCCACGCGCAGCTGAACGCAAGAGCCAGCCTCGAACTGAGCAACAAAGCCGGTGCAGCAGGCGGTTATCTCACCGGTGCTGTTTTGGGCAAGGTTGAGTGGTAAGAGAGACGGACTGTGCCTTTTCTTGCCTGGCTGAGCTGCACCTGAAGAATGTCTTCTGCGGTTCCTGCACCAGAGCCCGGCAGAGAGTCCTACAAGGGTACCCGCACATGAGTGGTTGATTTCTGTGTTCCCCTTTTGGCTCTTGCACACAGCTCCAATGGGCAGGCACCAGAGTGAGCATCTTTTGCAACGATGCAGGCAACACCCGTTGTGCGTTCATTCCTTTCGTCTCTTTGCTGACACCAAAGCCAATCCACACAACTGAGCTGCGAGAAATACTTTTTCCAAGCAAAGACACGCAAACTCAACTGCCTAGGCTAGTGTTATTCAACTGTGGCAACTTTAAGGGGAGTGGACTTCAATTCCCAGAATTCCCCAGTCAGCCATATTTGATTCTTTTTCTCTTAATCTCCTAAAGTGGAGAGATTACAGAGAAAGGGATATTACAAGAGAGTAAGCTATGCTGGCTGGGGAATTCTGGGAGTTGAAGTCCACCCATCTTAAAGTTGCCAAAGTGGAACAACAGTGGCCTAGGCAAAAAACAGACCCCCAAGAGGGACAAACAGCTTCAAAGCAAACCATTTTCACTCCAAACTTGCCCCAAATGTCCTTTTTTAACACTCTGGAAGTGTCTCAGGCTTGAAATAGTGTTCCAACCTCAAGAACGGGGTTATCTTGAACCTGAGATTCTGCCTGGGATCCTGAACCATCTCAGTTGACCCTTGAAACAAGCTGCTTCTAATTCAAAAGACATCATCGCACGCACCCCTTACGGACCCCCAAGGAAAGAGTTTAGGATTTCAAAGGGTGCAAACTTATAACAGTGCAGGAGCGTGGCGTAAAAAAATGTGAACTTTCACAGAGAGCCCTGCACTGACGAGATTTCTCAGGCTAGCTGGGTGCGAGTAGCACAAGAACCACCGATCAGATAAAACAGTGCTTCCCAAACTTGACCCTTTGAAGATGTATGGACTTCAACTCTCAGAATTCCTCAACCAGGCATACTGGTTGAGGAATTCTGGGAGTTGAAGTCCATACATCTTCAAAGGGTCAAGTTTGGGAAGCACTGAGATAAAACAAACAGCGGAGAACTTGCAAGCGGACAGAATTGGAGAGTGCAGATTTAAACCCGAAAACTCAAATCCTACAAAATGAGGCTTCGGAAATGTGGCATTCTGTCCTTTCAAAAAACCGTATTTCACGAGGGTCAGGGGTCCCCAAAGAGCAGAACCACCAAGTTTTAAAGCAGAAAATGGGACCCTCCAGGCCTTCTGCAACCCTCGATGGCATGTTTCATGCATCTCTTTTCCTCCAAAGCTGTTTCTGCAAAACGCAAGCCACCCCAAGCCCTTTGCAAGCCAAAAGCAGCCCTAACGAAAACAACACACGACCTGACTACAATTGGGTGCTCTTCTTTTGCCATTTGAACAGGGTCTTGGGGTGTTCTTGGCAAGGGAGATAAAAAAAAAAACCCTTAAAAATCGAAATACACCGCCAGGATGCAGGAAGCCGGCCATGCCGAGAAAGAGACGAAAATGAAAACAAAGAGCGATGGAGGTGGAGAAGGAAAGGGCAAGAAGGAAAGAAATAGGAAAGCCCTGGAACCATTGCCTATTCGAAGCTCGGAGAAGCGAACAGGAGCTTGAAAACAAACAGGGTTGATCGGAAATAACTGGGGGCAGGTGGGGGCCCTGCAACTGAATAGGGAAAAAAATTAGTTATGGTGCTGTGGATCAATTCCCAAATCTCTTCCAACCAACCATCCCTTTTCTTACCTCCTCCACATCTGCACATCTGTCACGAGTGACCTTCACTAGCTTTGGCTTCACTTATGAGTCCGAGATACACATCTGATTCATGTATAAAGCGTTTTTTTTTTGTTTAAAGTTCTCCGGTCCTGCAATGACCGAGAACGGGGACTTCATCCCCCGGCAGCTGAATCGGCCAACTGAAATTTTGACTTCCCAGCCGATGCATCTCCTGACACTTAATCAGGCATTTAATGCCTACAAACTCCTTCAATTGCACACTCCTTCCCAGGCACCTGAAACATCCAGCTTCCTTTAGGGATTACACAGGGTTCCTTTACGGCAGGGGTCTCCAACCTTGGCCACTTTAAAACTTGTGGACTTCAACTCCCAGAATTCCTCAGCCAGCCAGCCGTGTCTGTTTCTTTTTCTCCTTTCCCTTAAAGTGGCGAGATTGCAAAAGAAGGGATTACAAGAGAGTAAGCTATGCTGCCTGAAGAATTCTGGGAGTTGAAGTCCACAAGTCTTAAAGGTGGCCAACATTGGAGACCCCTGCTCTAAGGGCACAACAGTGCTGCCCCAATCCTATTCAAACACCGGAGCGCACGCTTTTCCACTCGCAACACAAGAAGTGGCTTTAACTGGGATTGTCCTCAAGCATGGAAACCGTATGGAAAAAAAAAAAAGACAGAGGATCTATCTATTTGAATAGGGTCTCAGTTGGAGAGATCCAGCCTTCAATTCACGCCAACCGGCAGAGGCTCAGTGTTCGTTTGTTCTGCCTGCTGCACCATCTCCAGGGTGAAAAAACTCCAAATTTTATTCAGGTTTGTCTTTTCCACGTGGGCAGAATTATGCTCCAGGCAGATTCAAGGTGTTGTAGCTGCTTTTTCAACCGCATCCAAACCATGCCTGGTTCACAGAATAATTCTTCCCAATTGCCCTCTCCAAGTAAGTGCTAAAGTGGTTTGCAATCTCACATTTTATAAAATCTTATTAAGAAAACTAGGAAGGTGAACAGGAGGAAGAAAGCAAAAAAGCTGGATTGGGTCAGCTGCTTGGGCGGAAAAATGAAGCTGCTCTTTCAAGCACCCAGAAGGGCGTCTAGTTGTGCCCCATTCTTCTTCACTTAACAGGCATCACCGATACATTTATTGCTCAGGCTTCAGCTCCTTCGTACTACTAAACGGGGGCGGGGAAGAGGACATTTGAGGGATGATATTAAAGTCGTACCAGGCTCTCTCCAATTCAGGCATCCGACTTGCTGATTTAGGATCGAATTGTGCTGAATTTCTCGCACGTCTTGGGACCCATGAATACATATTTTTTTTAAAAAAAAAATCCTGTAAGAAACATCTCAATGGGAAGCGATGATGGAAAAGAACAAAAGAAGCAAAAGAATAAGAGGATTCAGGACTGGCTAAGGACCGTCATCACGGGGATCCTTCCGGAGCTGGTCTTGTCTGCGGGATTGTTCAGAGCAGAAGTGCAAAACAAAACAAAACAAAAAAACAACAAACAAGTTTTTTTCCTCCATGTTAAACCTACCAGGAACCTCACATTTCTATAGTGGTGGAGGTTAAAAGTCCTTCTTTTTTTTCTCCCCCGCCCAGATCTCCCCGAGGATGATATTTAAATAGGAAGCCGAGGGGCTCCTGGAGTTTTCACCCCGTTCCCTCCGCCCCAGAAAAAAAAACTCCCACTTTACAAATTGCAAAAGTCCGATGGGGAAAAAAAAAAAAAAAACAAGTGGAGAAACGAAAAGGCAAAGGATTCCCATCAGGAATTCGGGGGTTCGGCGGTCGCTCTTCGAACACAAAGACAGTCTTGTGCTTGGAGAGGCGGCACCCGCACTCGCCTCCTTCCGCCAGCCCGGGAAGAAGTTCTCGGGGCTCCTTAGGCAGCGCCCAGGTGGTGCTGTTGTTTTGGGGGGGCCCATTCCAGGAGGGCCTGCACAGTCTCTGCCACCTGCGTCAACCCCTTCTCTTCTAAAATATGCAGAGGCAAACACAGTCGCTCCTACAAGGGGAAAAGACACAACAGACGCACAAAAGGGAGAAAAAAAAAAAAAGGATGACGATGAAAAATGGATAGGTAAAAGGGAAGCGAAATTAAAATTTGGACAGGGTGAGCGTGGACGAAGGATGGGATTGTGGCTGTGGGGTGTGGAATGCAAGACGTCCCGAAGGTGGCTTTTCCAAAAAAGCAACTGGATTTTCTTGGTTATTGACTTATTCAGCGAATGGCGTTATCATACGTGGACTAGCAAGATAGATGGTTAACATGTTGTCATCTTGATGAATAGGACGCCATGAGATATAAACGTTAAGAAAGATCTACCTTCAAATATACGAATGTCTAGGCCAGAGTGCCCCAAACTTTCCGGGTTGGCGGCCCAGAGCGGGGGGCACGGGGGAAAAAGGGGGTGATTTTTGTGGGAGGGTCAGATGCAGGTGTGCGTGTGCCTGCAATGTTTGCGGTGGTGCTTACATGCATGGGGCCACCCGCAACGAGGTTTGCGCAGATGCGTGCACCCCAGCTGGTTAACTCATATGGTTCGGTGGCAATTGGGCCACGGCCCAGTAGTGGGCTATGGCCCCACAGGTTGGGAACCTCTGTTCTAGGCCAGGGGTCTCCTACCTTGGCCACTTTTAAGACTTGTGGACTTCAACTCCCAGAGTCCACAAGTCTTAAAGTGGCCAAGGTTGGAGACCCCTGGCCTAGGCCATTAAGTGCAGCATCATTTATATGGACAAAAAAATCTGATACTGGACCGGTATTTGACCTCAGCTTACAGCCGGTCACTATTTGATGTACAGTTTGTTCAGCTGAAGAACTGAAGAAGCTCCTTGGATGAGAAGAAGCGAAACCTCTTCAAGGAAAAACCAAGGAAGTCCAGTTGCCTCTTGAAAAAAGCACTTTTGGGACAACCAGGACCTGGATGACTTGAGAATCTCCCTAGACTCTTCCTTGTCCTCCTGGGATTCAAAAGGGGGAAGGGGCTTCCCTCTGAATCCTTGCAGAGGAGGCGGCTGGGGAGAGCAGCCCACCTTCTTTTGAGACCCAGGGATCCTGGGACCACCGGGTTCTGCCCCTCCCTCAGTCACAGAAGCGTCCTGGGAGACTTTGGGGCCAGCGATGCTCTTCTCTTAGCCCAACCTACCTCACAGGGTTGTGGTGGGGAAAATGGAAGGACCGTGACGGATATTGTCTTGAGCTCCCAACATGTGATGGGATGTACAGGCAGTCCTTGACTTACAGCCATTCGTTTAGAGACCGTTCAAAGTTACGACGGCACTGAAAATAGTGACTGATGACCGTTTTCACACTTATGTCCACTACAGCATCCCCCACATAATCAATTGACTTGTATTTATGACGGCCATAAGTGCAGCTAATGTGGCTAAGTGTCCAAAGTGGTGGGGAGGACCGTCAAAACTTAGGAACTGGGTCGTAACTCCCATTTTCAGGTACGTCGCAACTTCTAACAATCGCTAAGCAACCGGTTGTAAGTTGAGGACTATCTGTGATATCCACACTGAGTTGCCTCTCACCTGTCTGGAACGCACCACTCCCTCCTGGGGAATCCATCTCAATACAGGTGGTCCTCGACCTACGGCCACAATTGAGCCAAAAATTTCTCTTGCTAAGCCAGACAGTTGTTAAGTGAATTCTGCCCCATTTTACCACCTTTCTTGCCACGGTTGTTAAGTGAATCACTGCGGATTGTTAATAACTCGGTTGTTCAGTGAATCCAGCTTCCCCATTTGACTTTGCTTGTCACATGGTCTCAATCAGGGGATCACGTGACCCCGGGAACATTGCAACCGTCATAAATACGAGTCCGTCGCCAAGTGCCTGAATTTTGATCACGTGACGCATCAGGACGCTACAACGGCCTTCAAGTGTGAAAGACGGCCATAAGTCCCTTTTTTTCCCCAGTGCCGTCGTAACTTTGAACGGTCACAAAATGAACCATAGGTCGGGGACTACCTATACACCCCGTCACACAACACAAGTCATAGTATCAAAGAAATAAACAAACCAGTGAATATGTTAACCAACATCGAATCACCCTCCTAATTGAAATATTTTGATTTTGGGGGGTTTTTTTTGTCTTTTAAATCAGAGGAATTTTTCTCTGGCCTTCCTTGCACGTGGCGGGGTGTGCAAGCAGGGTTCTTGAGTGCAAGCCAGACTACAGTCTCCCGCAAAGGTTGCTTCATAACCCGAGACCCCGTTGTCCTCTTCGGACTCCGCTGGACTAAGTGAACAAGGACCATCCCAGCCGCATTTGGAGGTGACGTTTATTGAACCAACGAAGCCCAAAGAAAAACAGAGCCCGCACCAGCCTGGCGACAAGAGGTGTACAGAGAGAACGTGCAAAACAAGAGTGTGTTACAAGCATCGAAGAAGGAAAAATAAAAATAAAGCCAAACTCTTAGCAGCAGTGGATTTTATAGGGAGAATCCAGTACGAAGAAAACAAGCCAGAGAGAAGCATTTCTCATGGGTGGGATTCATCCACGAGGTGTGCAAAAGTGACATTTTTTGTGTGTTTTTGCTTGGCGGATAAACGAAATCTCCTCGCTCTGCACGGTTGGAAGATTTGCACAGGGGCTCACTTCTTATCAACCGTCTGTGCAAACATCCCCCATCTAGAAATGTTGGGCGTGCCAGACAGTGCTTGGCCTAGCTCAGTGGGACTCTCAACCTCTGGTCCACGGATTCCTGGGGGGCTGTGACGTCATCACAGGGGGTTGGCCAAAGCTTGAAAAAAAAAGGTTATGATTTAAACCTTGAGTTAAGTCTCGGTGGGGGGGGGAGGCCGTGGCCACAAAAGGTATTTAAAAGTGGTCCGTGGTGAAGAAAAGGTTGGGAACCATTAGCTTAGTAGCAATCCTGGAAAACTGAACATGCAATTTGAATCTTTGCTGAGCCTAAACAAACTGAGACCCCCTTCAGAGGCCCATGGTCTCTGGGCCTCCTTCCGCTCCTTCCCACCATTAGCCAGGCTAGATACAGATTAACCGAGTTGGAAGGGACCCTGTAGGACATCTAGTCCAACCCCCACCCGGCTCAAGCAGACCCTACACCATTTCTGAGAGGATCCTGTGCTAAACCGTAAAAGGGGTTTGGTTCTTAGCTTAAGGCAGGGTATCCAAGCTTGAATAAGACCTGTGGACTTCAACTCCCAGAATTCCTCAGCCAGCTATGCTGGACAGGACCTCCAAATGCCTTTGAGCCTTGTATTTCATTTTTCCCAGGCAAAAGGTGGGAAGATTCCTGTATTATAGGCAGAGAACAATAAAGTAGCTAGTTTGAACTCTACATGGGTGGGGGTCTGGTCGGTCGTGCCTGACATATATTATTGTTTTTAATCTTGTTGTAAGATGCCTAGAGTTGCCTGACAGCCAGATGGGCAGCATTCTAACTAACTAGCTAACTAACTACTGTATTTTTCGGAGTATAAGACGCACCTTAGCTTTTGGGGAGGAAAATAAGAAAAAAGCTGATTGGCAGGTAGATCGGCCTCCTGGAATACCCCCAATCAGCTGTTTCCAGAGGTGAATTTTAGCAACAGGTTCCTTGGTTGTGAGCTCTGTGCCTTGCTTTTTTTTCAGCCTCTGAAACTTTTAAACCTCATTTTCAGAAAAAACTTCTTTTCCTGCCTCTGAAAGCCTCCAAAACAGCTTCAGAAAAATAGCCTCTGAAGCTCTGTTTGGGGGCTTCTTTTCTGAAGCTTCGTTTGTGATGCTTTTTTCAGCCTCTGAAACCTCCGTTCGAGAAGCTGGGCGGGGCTACATTCGGAGTAAGATGCACCCAGATTTTTACCTTCTTTTTTGGGGGGAAAAAGATGCGTCTTATACTCTGAAAAATACACTCACTCACTCACTCACTCACTCACTAACTAACTAACCTTAATTAACTAAAGGTAGTCCTCAACTTACGAACACAATCGAACCCAACATTTCTGTTGCTAATTGAGACATTTCTTAAGTGAGTTTTGCCCTGTTTTACGACCTTTCTTGCTACATTTGTTAAGTGAATCACGGCAGTTGTTAAGTTAGGAACACAGCTGTTAAGTGAATCTGACTCCTCCATGGCCTTTGCTCGTCAGAAGGTCGTAAAAAGGGGATCATGTGACCTCAGGACAATGCAACCGTCATAAATGTGAACCAGTTGCCAAGTATCTGAATTTTGATCCTGTGACTGCGGGGATGCTGCCATGGTCTTAAGTGTGAAAAAGGGTCATAAGCCACTTTTTTTCTGTGCTGTTGGAACTTTGAATAGTCACTAAATGAACTGTTGTAAGTCGAGGACTACCTGCAACTAACTAGCTAGCTAGCTAGCTAGCTAGCTAACTAACTAACCCATTGCCCTATTTTTTTCTTAGCTGGCTGGACAATGCATATTGGTTCTTTCTACACCCTTATCCACTACCCTTGCGTAATCTAGAGTTTGGGGTAGCACAGATCCAATCATGGAGGTGATCTATAAGCACCCAGGCCTGAACTCAGGAGGCAGCTGTCTTCCACAGATTACTCTTGTGCAATTTCCAAATTGCAGGGCAGGCACCAAGCTGAGGAAGCAAAGTCAGCCCTCACTGAGCTATGTGACTTCAGAAAAAAAAAAACCAACAAATCCTAAATCCGGATTGAAAACTAATGGAACTGAATGAGCCAATGGGAGAAAACACAGAGCAGAGCAACAGGCCTGGTTCAGCCAGCTCCCAGATAAGCCAAGGTCGCCTGCTTCACCTTACAAGCGCTAGCAAGAATAAATCGTTACGGAGCTAAGCATCCAACTCGGAAAAGAAATATATCATATGCAAGAGATATGCAGGAAAAAAAAAAAGTCTTATCAGCTGCACAACCATGCGGGGAATCCTTAAAAGCTTCCCATTGAAGCAGCAGTGGCCGTCAAACATCCCAAATAATTAACTGTCTATTAATAATGCAATTCAGGAATTACGCTAGGGAGGTTAATGTAGAACAGGTTTGGACTGAATTCCCTTGC